CGTTTCAATGATTCAGAGTTGACTCTTTCTTTTGAGAGACAATAACTTTATACACGGTGCACTTTCAGATTTGCAGGATGTTTTCATTCACTTAGGGTGCTTTCACACCTGTAGATCGATTGCTTTGTCCCGAAACAGGGATTAAAATTATTACAATGTTGCTTTTTATTCTTGGTGCGGTACGCTTTCACACGGCAAAGTTTCTAAACGGACCAAATTTGTTAATACAAGTCACGCGCGAGTAAACTGTTCTCTCATTGGTCAAAGTTCCACGGTTTATTTTCCGGGATTCCACTGAGCTGTCACACATGTCATCCGTCAGGATGGAACGATAACAGCTTCGCGGGCTTATTGTTGTTGTTGTTTTTTTGTAGCTGTCATTATAATAATTTATCATTTTGAGCAGGAGTCCAGGATTGATCGGGAAAACATTTTTAAAATGCACCTACTAGAAAGAAGAGCAATAAGACGGCATTATAAAATCAAAAAGTGCGCTTTTTTATTTTGAATGGCGAAGACGTGCTCACCCACAGACACTCACAGGTTCATTTTGAAGTATTAGCAAAACAACAAAGCTAATGCTTTTCACGGAACTTACGTAATTACCCATCATACATTGTGATATAGCCTGGTTCGTTGGTCCGTTAGATCGGATTGCTTTCTCACTACAACCGAACCGCTCCAGAGTTCGTTTTCAATCGAGCCGAGACCACCTCGTTCAGGCGATCTCGGACCGATTGTTTTGGTGCGGATCCGAGCGCGATTGCCGTGTTCACATATGCCCAAACGAACCGAGCTAAGGGGGGAAACCCGCCAGGTTCCGAAACAACGGGCCAGGTGTGAAAGCACCCTTAGAGCTGTGTTACACACTGCATGAAAGGTCATTTTCAAAAATCCATAATGGGGCACTTTAAGACATTTTACTGGCAGTTTTAGTTTTAAAGTGTCAGAGTGTTAGAGTGAAAAAAAAATCATTTTCACATATTAATAAAAAAAAAATCCATATTATTAAAAAAAATAATTAAAGGGTTAGTTCACCCGAAAATGAAAAAAGAAAATGAAAAAAAAAAATGTCATGCTTTTCTCATGTAACACAATAATGGCTTTAAATGATCTTTTGTGGGTAATTGCTCAGCCGCATTTGATGTATGATTAATATGTGATTAGATTAATTAATCGCCACATTGTATAATTGATTTACAGCCCTAGTTATGCTGTGATAAATCTTTCCTCAGGTGGAGAGACGCTGGATGAATGTGGGCTGAAGTTCCTGCTGGCCGTTCGCCTGCACACCTTCCTCCTCACGTCTCTGCCTCCGGCTCATCGCGCTCCGCTTCTCTGCCAAGGTAAGCGTTCAGATGGTGGGTCTGCATATTTCTGTAACTCTAAACAGTAGAGAATGCCTCAAAGAACACCAAGGTCATGGGTTTGATTCCCAGTGAAATGCATGCACTGGTAAAATGTGTACCTTGAGTGCAATTCCTTGCATAGACGTAATTGTAAATCTCAGCTATAATATGTTCTGTGGACTTCTGAGCTCAGTAACTCAGGTGCTGCTGGTCTACAGGACTGTCCACCTGCCACTACGCCTGGGCGTTCCACTCCGAGGCTGAAGAGGAGCTGCTCAACATGCTCCCAGCTCTGCAGAAAGGAGAGCCCGCGTGGCCCGAGCTGAGAGCCATGGGCATGGGCTGGTGGCTCAGGAGCACCAACAAGCTTCGCAGATGCATTGAGAAGGTTTGGCTAAACTGAGCCCATTTTCTGTGCATATTAGATGATGATGAGTAGATTTTGCCAAAATTGGCAGGATATATAATAATCCAGGATATTTCAGTAAATAACACACACATTCATGTTTTACTGTGTTGGAGTTGCATGCATTCTGCTGTGGAGTTATTAGGGGTCAAGCACCATAGTCATGTACTGTATCTGTTAGCTTTCCCTATATTGTTCTGCATTAGTCTGTGGCAGTCCGTAAACAGTTATTGAACCGTTCTCAAAATGGCAAATTTAGAGTTGTTTCCCCAAACTTTTAGAACTTTTAGCTTGTAACTGGTATATCATAACCTAACCTCAAGCATCAAATATTAAATATACATCAAATATACATAAATAATTTGTATCTCTGCAATGCTTCTGTATATTGACATACAACTTTGTAGGTGTTATTGTCACAGTGTGCACTATACATTTTAAAAGTTTATATATAATGCTAAATCTACTCATAATCTAGTCATAAACTCTCACACTGGTCAGCTCAGTCTGTAGCTGCTGCTTGTTTGATTATTCTTCTGTGCATCAGATGTATGTCTTCAGCCACGATATTCAGCGTCTTTGTTTGTCAGCACCTTGAGTTACATTGAGATGACTGAACAAAACTTAAACTTTAGTTATGCATTTATTTTTGTTAATTTTCTGTCTTATTTGTAGAGCATGGGCTTTATGAAGTCCAAACAAGTGTAATGATCAGTGATCCTCTATCTCCTACCAGGTAGCAAAAGCTGCTTATCAGAGAAACAACGACCCGTTAGACGCAGCCTTGTTTTATCTGGCCATGAAGAAGAAAGCTGTGGTCTGGGGACTGTACAGGTAACTACACACTCACACACACACACACACACACTCACTCACTCACTTATATACACACTCACACACACTGACACTCACACACACACACACACACACACAGGTTTGTTTTTGTGAAAAGTGGGGACTCTCCATAGGCGTAATGGTTTTTATACTGTACAGACCGTATATTCTATTGCCCTACACCAACCCTACCCCTAAACCTACCCCTCACAGGAAACTTTGTGCTATTTCAGATTTTCAATACACTCCATTCTGTGTGATTTATAAGCGTTTTGAAAAGTGGGGACATGGGGTAATGTCCTGAAAAGTCACCTTCTCCTTGTAATACCTATCATACCCTTGTCATTATACAAATTTATGTCCTCATTTGTCACAACACACACACACACTCTCTCTCTCTCACACACTCACACTCTCTCACACACACACACACTCTCTCTCTCTCACACACACGCAGACACACACACACTCTCTCTCTCACACACACACACACACACACACAC